ACAACCACATTGATTATTCCTATCTTTTATCATCTTTGCCAATTTCCTAGGTCTGAGATGAAACCTCAGGATTATTTTGAATGGAAATACTCATTATTTTGTAGCATTTTTTTTCCACATAGTAGTAATAAATAAGTTAATAGCTTATAATTCTTCTTCTGAGAGTTGTTTGTTCATATCTACTGACCACTCATCTACTGAGGAATAGCTTTTGGTCTTTTGTACCTGTTAGTTATCTGTATGTGTTAGATACCAAACCCCAAGAAATTTGACACAAAGATTTTTTCCTAATAAATAACTTCCCTTCTTATCCCATATGCATCAACTGTATTCATGCAAAAGCTTTTCAATTTCATATAACCAACATTTTTTGTAATTACCTCCATCCCTATTTGGATAAGAATTTATCCCCTAGCCATAGATGTAAAGGTACATAACCTGCTTCTGTTCTAATTTTTTTTATGGTAAGGAGCTTTGTGCCTGTCCTGATCCAGGCCACCTGCCTGTGGCCTTTGTCTTCACCCCAGGGTGGGCTTCTCCAATGTTCTTGAGGCCCTTTCCAGATCAGACCCACATCTAACTGCTTCCCCAACTCCTGCTTCTTGTCTGGACTTGTGCCTGCTATGAAGTGGGCCTTTGGAGCCTCGCAGAACGCAATGCTAATACCTGCCACAAGGATGGGATGCTAGGGAGGGCCTTGAACAACAGTCTGATCATCTGCCTCCCTCAAGGCACCTCTCACTAGCTCCTGAGAATCTTCCAGAATTCATTCCTCAATGGTTGGCACAATCCCACTCTCTCATATTATCCCCATCTCAGTAATTCTCAGTAATCCCCACCCAAAAGCTTAAAAATTACAATACAGTTTCTTACATGGATGAGACCTCAATTTAATGTGATCTTGGGAAATTTTTCCAAAACATTTTTAATATTTTAAAATGTTATTTTTCCCAAAATAACTCAGAACATGGCATAAATAGTAGCATGGTTGCTGACATTTTCTACATATATTGTTCCTCTGTGAAACATTAAATTAAAAAGCAGATTGTTTCAGAGAACTAATAAACCCATGTTAAAAGACCAAATGTTAAAATTTTTAATTTTTAATAAGCATCCTAATCTAATGGCTGTCCTTAGAGTATTGAATACTAAAGGTGTACTTTTCATTTTTATTAATAAGACCACCTTTTGTCTGTATAACTTTTTTTACAGGTTTCAAAGTGTCTTCATATGCATTCTGTCTTTCACTGGCTGTCCACCTGTCCTGGAAAACCCTCTCTACTCATCTCTGCCTCCCAGTTTTCTTGGTTTCCTTCAAGTCTCAACTAAAATCCCACCTTCTAGAGGAAGCCTTTCTCAATCATTCTTAATTCTAGGGCCTTGGCTCCACTGATTATTTCCTATTTATCCTGTCTATAGTTTGTATCTAGCTATTTTCATGTGGTCTTCTTCATTAGATTGCGAGCTTCTTGAGGACAAGAACTTTTTCCTTTCTTTGTATCCATAGCACTTAGAGTACCTCAAACATAGTTGGCACTTAATAAATGTTTACTGACTGACAACTATCTTATGTGGCAAGCAAAGTGAGTGTATGGTGGGGGGGGTGCAAGGGGGTAGGGCAGGAAGAGAGAGGGGTGGGAGGGAGAGGGAGAGAGCGAGAGAGTGCTCAGGTTATATTTATATAGGGAGCTTCTAGAGTTTAAAGCAGTGGCAGTGTAGTGAGAGGGGTGATGATAATTGATCAGAGAGGAGACAGAGCTGTTCAATTCTTATTTTCCTTCGGCATTACCTTCAGACTGGAACATGTACAATGTTAATAGTTAACAGGGTTTTGATAGCCCAAATAAGTAAGACGGTAATAAGAGATCACCAAGCTATCCTTGACCAATTCAAGTCATCAATCCCAGATAAACAATATCTTCAAGGACTGAAATGACTCCAATGTTTAGAACAGGTGAACAGTGGGAGTAATCCAGCTTTGGAGTTTAAGGTATGAATGGTGACAAGAGAAGAGGACAATATATGACAGTGTGGACAGTGGAGGTGAACTGGTAAAGTGAAACTAGACCAAGGACAATGGACTGAAAAAAATACTCAATGCTAGAGCAACTAGAGGTTAAGATGAGGACAAGGAAGAAGTTCAGAAGAGGTATGACCAGACAGAAACAAGTCAGAGTTAAGGAGATAGGTATGAGATTACACTTACGGGTGACTGGAAAAGCAGGAATATAATTATTTTTGTGTGGCTAAAGTGGAAAGGTAGGGAAGGGAAAGGAAAGGTAACAAGTATTTATTAATTACCTGCTATATGCTAAGCACTTTACAAATAATTATTTCATTTGATCCTCACAGCAATCCGAGGAGCAGGTGCTATTATTATCACCATTTTACACATAAAGAAATTGAGGCAGATAGAGTTTAAGTGATTTGCCCACGGTCACACAGCTAGTAAGCATCTGAGATTGGATTTGAACTCAGGTCTTCCAGTCTCCAGGCCCAACAGTCTATCCACTGTACCATTTACTTTCCTATAATAAAAGCTAACATGTATAACTTTAAGGTTTATAAAGTGCTTTATAAATATTATCTCATTTTATCCTCACAATGACCCTAGGAGGGAGGTGTTTTTATTATCTCCATTTTACAGCTGAAACAGACAAAAGTTAAGTGACTTCCCCTAGATCATGTAGTGAGTAAGCATCTGAGGCCACATTTATGCTCAGATCTTCCGGCCTTGAAGAAGATGGTCTATGCTGTGACACCTAGCAGAATGAGGTGGTCATAGAATCTGAAGAGAGTGAGGAATTAGAAGGTTAAATTATTTGAAGGAACAAACATTTATGCCAAAGTCCCTTAGTGTAAGGAGATTAAGAAAAGGGCCCCTGAATGCCCATCAATTGGAAAATGGCTGAACAAGTTATAGCATATGATTATGATGGAATACTATTGTACTATAAGAAATGATGAGAAGGATACTCTCAGAAAAACCTGAAAAAACTTACATTGGCTGATGCAAAGTGAAATGTACTGTGTACCAAGTAACAGCAATATTGTAAGATGATCAGTTGTGAATGTCTTAGCTATTCTCAATAACACAATGATACAAGACAATGCTGAAGGACTTATGATGAAAAATGCTATCTATCCCCAAAGAAAGAACTGATGGTGTCTGAAGGTTTTTTTTTTCTCGTCTATGTTTTCTTTCACAACATGACTATTAAGAATATGTTTCGCATGACTAAACATGTATAATCTACATCCATTGAATTGCTTGCCTTATCAATGGGGGGTGGGGGTGAGGAGGGAGTAAGGGAGAAAATTTAGAACTCAAAGTTTTAAAAACGAATGTTAAAAATTGTTCTTACATGTAACTAGGGAAAAATAAAATACTAAGTAAAAGCTTAGAAAATGAAAAAATGAAAAAGACCTCTGAAAGCTGGGGGGAGGACTCCCTGGAATTCACAGGAGGACATAGATATCAGTCTCATGGTTTGAGAAGGCACAGATGGGTTTTGATCTGCACTCCTGGAAGGGTGTAAGGAGATCAACACTGAGGAGACCATAGGATGAGAGAACTGAAAGTGAACTTCATGGCCACCTAACCCAACCTTTTCACAACAGAATCCTCATTACTATATACTTGAAAATGACCATGGCCCCTCTCCAGGCATCAAGCAGGCACCTGCCTCTTTGCCACCACATCCAGTTCCTGGTTCTGTTCTCAGAGCTCAAAGAGAACAAGTCTAATCTTTTGGCCATAGGGAATCCTTTAAAATACTTGAAGACAGGTATTGTGTCTCCTCCAGGACTTCTTTTTGTCAGGTTTAACACAACTAGTTTTGTCAACCAAATCTCCTATGTCATGATCTCAGGACCTTTTGCCATCCTAGCTATCCTCTTCTGAATACTTGTTGGTTTATCAGTATCCTTCTTAAACCGTGAAGCCCAGCACTGAACACAATGCTCCAAGAGATCAGACAAGGACAGATGTCATTCCTGAAAGTTATCCCCCTCCTAAGGCAGGCCAAGACTGCATCAGTTTTTTGGTTGCCATCTCCTACTGCTGACTTACATGGCGCTTGCAGGCCACTGGAAAGCAAAGATTCTTTTCCTAACAACTACTATATGTCTATACTCTTCCATATTACATTACTTAATGTGAGACTCTACATTTATCTCTATAGAATTTCATCTTATTAGATCAAGCCCACCTGTCAAGATCCTTTCAGATCTTGATTCTGACATCTAGATGGGTGTCTGCCCCTTCATGGCTCTGTATTTCAGTTTATTAAGCTCATCACTAAGGTCTCTTCTAGTCATAAGGTTCAATTATTTTATTTAGCAATTTTTATGATTTTTCAACTTATGACATACTTCCCAAACTTTACTTTCTTATTAAACAAATGGGGATAGGTGATGTATTGTTTTGTCTTTGTACACTCCTTTCCTAGCATTGTGTCTGGCACATACTAGATCCTTAATTTATTGACTGACTTTACATATGGGCAACAGAGAAGTTAAGTTTCACTTAATTTTGCCTGCTACTGAGAATGATACAACTGAATCAACTTGTTGATTTCAAGAAATATTTACTGAATGCTTACTACCTCAACAATCAATAGTTCTTAAGTGGTAACAACAGAATAACTTACAAATGAAGTATCAGCCCTTTCTCTACAAAACAAACAAACAAAAAGAAATAGTCCTTTCTCTCAAATGGCATATAGTGCAGGAAATAAAACTAATACCTGAAACCATCACAGATTTTAAGAGAGAGATTTATTGTTTCAGATGAGTTTGTACTAGATAACTTCTGAAGTCCTTTAAACTCTAAGTTTATTCATATAAAGTGCTAAATTGGTATCAAAGTACTTAATTTTAGAAATTTAGGTTATTATTAACCACTTAAAAGCTGGGGGGGAAGAGTACCACTTATGAAAGTCTGTTTCCTTCATGTATGTGTATTAAAGTGGTTGCATTTATGGCAAAATAATAATTACCTGTTAAATTTGCAGCATCTGTGGGGCTCAGCTGTAACCAATGTCTAGCATCTGAATCAACAGCAACATCAGTTGGTGTATTCAGTTCTTGGTCTTCTTCAAATGGATGCCATGGATTCATTGTTATCTCTACCTCATTATTATAGCCAAGAGATGTGTCACTGCTAACACTTTCACCTAACACAACCAGGGGAGTTAAAAGATATAGATAATGAATAACTGTAAATTATAAAAATAAAATGTTATTTTCACAACAATTAAAGTGATAAGCTAAATCAGTGAGCATCCAACTAGAACATACAACTAAAAGGCACAGTGGTGTACCCAAAGAACCCTTAGTCAGATATTGATAAGAATCTATAGAGGTTAGCAAAACCCAAAGGTCTACATTCAAAGGCTGCTTACTGTCTGAAGGCTTCAGACAAAAGACAAAAAGTTTCAGAAATCTCTTTAAAAGACTTAAATGATGTCAGTCACAGCCATCAAGAGTCATAAATTAAGCTAGAAGAATATATAACCTACAGACTATTCAGACAAATACAGTCAAGTGTTAGTTTTTTAAATAATCAATGCATATATTATTTTCTAAGAACTTGTGCTTTTTGCCCTTGTGGAAAGTTGGCTTAGCTAAGACAACCAAAGGCAACTGCATGCTCATATTACTTTTAAATCTTTTAAATTTTAATAAATAATCTTTTTTAATTGATAGCCAAATGTTGTGAACAAAAGCAAAATGAATTCATAAAAAAATAACAAGGTTAATGTTAATCATGAGCAACATTGAAAAGGTAAAACTTTGACTAAAAAAAGAGAAAATATTTTTAAAAAACCAAGGTTAGGGAAAACAAAAATAAATTCAATAAATCCAACAAATAAATATTTTCACTCTATACTGTAGGTATTACTGGAAATTTACAGCAAGGAGAGAAACATCAGAAATAGAGAAAAGATAGAAACACACAGAGATATGGCCATAGAATTTCACAGAGAAGTAATTTCCATTTCATGATCTTTTAGGAATCTCCTAAAGTACTTTTAAAGTCATTTTGCTCAACTGGAAGCATACATTATAATGCTTTTATCCTTCTTTGGTACTTGCTCATTGAGCCAGATCTGCTCTTAGTTGAAGGCTTTTCATCCCTGTTCCGACCAGTACAGTAGTGTTTCATTAAACTGCAATTAATAGTGCAATAAGGTGTTCCACAAGTGAATTTTCCAAATAATTGGACTCTCATGCACTTGACAACTATTTTTTTGTAGTGATTAATTTAATGGAAATATTTCTGAAACATACTTCCCTGACTTATCAAACAGTACACTGAGCAAAATTTAACCTTTAATTAATGATTCAAGGTCATCACTTTGAATAAAGATTATTGTACTATGTTGTAAAACAGTGATATCTTCAGCTTCAATGCTAAATGTTATCAGATTACTATACTTTAAAAGTTCTGCTATCTCCCTTTTGTAATTGTCTCATTGATTGCTGTTAGTTATCACTTCTCACTATTTCCCTCTACCAATCTGCCCCCTTATCACAATAACTTCAACAAAGAAAGAATTAAAATTTGTCATGGAAAATCAGATGGCCAAAATTATTAAAAGATCTAATTTCTCATGCTAGCCTCTCTGTGAGGATCTGAAAATGTATCTATGCAATCTCCTATGCAATCTGTATCTGGTGAGTTTTGTGACAGATATTTTTCTTACTGCTCAGAGGTTGTTCTGAATAGCTACGGTTCAGAGTTTCCAAACAAAGGACAAGAAGGCTATTACTATAGGTTTTCCAATTGTTCCTACTACTTTTTTTTAAAAGGCTACCTTTTCTCACATTTCCAATTGAACATTGCTTTTTAAATACTTATTTGAATTAAAGAAATTTATAAACCTATGTAAAGTTTGTGGGATTTATCTGGGAACTGAAGAAACTAAATGCTGGGGAAAGGATTTCATTTTCCCCTTCATTTGGCTATAGTCATCAGACAAAACAATTTGTTCCACTAAATCCTTGCCTAGTGAAACATGTTACTGTGCAAATCCATAGTTGGCTAGAAAATTTGGTTAAACAAAACACCCCATTAAAGTAAAATAGTGAGGTGTTATTGTAATGAGAAATGGGAAAAAATCACATGTATGTATGTATGTATGTATGTATGTAGTTTTTGCAGATGATCAAAATAACAATTCAAGTCCCCGGAACTTACTCTTTTGTCTTTCTCTACATTTTCCTTCTGTTTGCTGCAAATCATCTTTTAAATCTATTTCAGCTGGGCTGCTGCTTCTTCGCACTAAAACCTTTAGACAAAGAGAAATCATGTTGCATTTGTTTACTACAAGCTACTTTTCATTTTAAAGAAACTGCATAATTTTCTGGTATACATTTCTAGCAGCCAAACAAAAAATAGACAATCAGAAAAGCAAAAAAAGAATGCCTTAATATTCTGTATCTATGTTCAATGTTTATACATTTCCATAAAGAAATTATCAATTACTCAAAATTAATAATTTCAATTTATGGACTTCATTATGTCAACAGGCATTCGATTAAACCAACCTACTAATGAGGAATACAAAATTATGCATAATTATTTTTAAAGTTCTATTAATACACTTAAGTATATATGCAGAAACATATAGCTTCTTATCAGTGTTTGCCTCTCTCTGAGTATAAGCCCGGATATTTTTGGCTTCCAGAATTAGAGTCCAAAGTTACCTAATCAAATATCTTCATTTTACAAATTAGAAAACTGAAGCTAAGAAAGGTTTGGTGACTCATCCTCAAATGTACAGCTAGTTTGTGGCAGAACCAAGACTGAAAACCAGTTCACATGAAAAGTGGAAAATAAAGGAGGTAATAGTAGAAACAAGGTCAAAGGAAAGGGTTTTTCTTCCCCCAGCATGGAAAGACTAACAATTAAAAGTTTAGTACACTATAGAGTTAATGGATTAAAATAGCATATGAATTCTTAATTTACAGGAGAATCTGATCCATTTGGATTGATTAAATTACAAAAAAAGGAAATAAGTTATTTATGTTTTTGGAGGTTCATAACATGTCCTAGTAATTGAAATAGTGGAAAAATGTCTTTAAAAGGCACATCACTAAGATAAAAAAAAATGTTGCCCATTGCCAAAATTAGGAGAATATAAGGGAAAAAAAGATGATGATTTATGCCTATAAGCAATAAGGAATGATGAAATCTATTTATATAACTCCTTAGGGTAATAGCAACTAGTTTTCAGACAATTAATTATTGTTTTTTAAAATTCTGAACTAGTTTAATTCTCAAATTCCTAATATACCTATAAAATTACATGTTGGTTTTTTTTCTTTTCCTAAAACATTAGAAGCTAGAAATGATCTTCAAATTCTTTGGGATGATTTCCTACCAGAGTGTATGAGTTTGGGAGAGGGGAAACATTGACATTTATAACACTGCTATTATTTATTTTAATTAAATAATGTTTAGTTATAATTCACAAAGGAATACCAATCTGATAAAATAATTAAAGTATCTTACTGTTGGTCCTTCATTTTCTTTCTTTAAATGTCCTTTATTTTCCTGAATTTGTCTGGGATCTGATGAACTTAGATTCTGTGAGTTCTCTATTTTTTTACCTGTAGAATGAAAAATGAAGTGGATTACATATTTCTGATTTATTATAGTTTTTAAAATAAACAATTGCTGAATTCTAATTAGTGGGCACATAAGGCTCAAAAATAGGGTTTTATGTTAGAACAGAAAAAGAGAAAAAACAACAATATGGAAACACCTAATGGTCAGGTCTTTCCAATGGCTACTCTACATCATTTCATTCATTTCTCCCATTAGTGAGAGAATCAGTTATAATATTTTAGTGTTACAAAGGGACCTTAGGAAGCATCAAGTCAACCTCATCATTTTACACGTCAGAAAACAGGCCCAAAGAAGTTCTCCAAAGTCAAACAAATATGGTGATAGAACTACTACTAGACCTCACCTTTCATGGGCTAGCTTAGGCTTCTTTAGATCATACTATTCATCCTTCATTGTGAGGGAAGGAGAGAGAGAGAGAGAGAGAGAGGTTAAGATGGAGGGGAGTGAGGGGGGTGGCGCAGAGAGATACTGGAGGGGTGAAGAAAGAGGGAGAGAGGAGAGAAAAAAGTAGGAGGGGGGGAGAGGAAAAAAAATTTATGGGAAAAGTCTTCTCTACTTTAATAAATAATGTTTAAAAAATAAAGTGGGGACTCAAAACTAAATGATTGAAAGTTTGTAATATTAACACTTAATGAGGAAATACTGGAATATACCCCTTAATTGCCTTAGAACTGGAGATAAGGTAAATAAGTCAGTAACATGTATATATGAGATTATCATTCCCCATAAGCTAAACATAGAATAGTCAATCTCTAAATACTGTTATACTTAAAAATCAATTGATTTCAAAAATGTAAAAATAAGGGGCAGCTAGGTAGCCCAGTGGATAGAGCACTGGCCCTGGATTCAGGAGGACCTGAGTTCAAATCTGACCTCAGACACATAACACTTACTAGCTGTGTGACCCTGCACAATTCACTTAACCCCCCTGCCTAAACAAAAAACAAAAAACAAAAAAAAAAGTAAAGATAAGTTAAGAAAAAAGTTTTAAAAAATATGTCCAAAGTGACAGACAATGTGGCAGAGATAGAGAGCTTTTCTTAGAGCTAGGAAGACCTAAATTCAAATCCAGCCTCAGACATATCCTGGCTGAGTGACTATGGGCAAGTCACATAACCTCTCAAGTGCTCTAGAATACTCCCTAAGATTATACATTACTGACCTACTTTGACAGAGGGAGTTTTCTCATCTGAGAGTTCTCCATAACAATGAAATCACAGGTTTAGTTAAATATTTTTTTGCTGTGAGGATTCACAACCTTATAAAAACAATAAAAATATATAGTTTACCTTGATAAGAATCAGAATGTAACTGGTCAGTTATATCAGAAGTACTACTGCTACGGGGTATCTGTTGTTCCTGGTTGACCAACAGGCAGCCAGATTCACCTCCTGTTACATTTTCTGATTGCTGACATTCTTCAACTTCTGAAAATCATTAACAGAAAATATGCAATATTTTAAAATTAAATTATAAAACTTAAGATGATATATTTTATTCCATTCTGAATTACTGTAAAGTTTAATAGTTTCAAAATAGACATGATGATGAATCTTAAAATAATAAAGTACTTAGATTTCCTAAGATTAATGTTTAATACTATGAAAATATTTTAACTCAATTTTCACAATGAAAAAAAAACTAAAACAGCAAAATAAATAGTACAGATGGTAATCATTAAAATCATTGAGCAGAAGAAAGGAAAGAATGGAAATAAGCAAGGAGGGGAAAAATGTGCAAATACTAAAGCCTGGGTTATTATTTGATGATTAAATTCGATGAAAGAAATAGGGACATAAATTTACCAAGATTAAAGAAAAAGGATATATGGGAATTAAACTTCAACTGTATCTTCCTTTATTTGAAAAATAAAAACAATTGCCAAAGTAAGTGCTAAAGTGTAAGGAAGATGAGTTTTTCATGGACATGAGTTAACTATGCATTACTAAATGTGTTCATTATTATGTCTCAATATTAGATACTTGGGTGTTTGTTTGTTTTTTAAATTATGTACTTGGTAGTGTTTCTGTTCTCCAGTGTTCTAACAGAAAGACGACCACATCAATGATATTCCCCTCAATGACGCATATTGCAGTTGAAAAAAGCCCATCCTAACTCACACAGAGAGGATTTTGGTTCATATTTTAAAATAACTTGTTCTGAAGAAATGCTTATATTTAATTTATTGATTCCCCTTAACAAATATTAACATATTTTAACCTGGATAAAATTGCAATTTTAGATTTTAAAAATTACATGCCTTACATTTTATGGTCCTGTGACCCTTAAGAGTATAAAATAAATAACCAGTTGTTGTTAATACAATGCAACAGTGGGTACAAATCAATTGGAAAATGACTGAAAAAACCAGGTCACATAATAAGAAATGATGAATATGAGAAATTCATGGGAAGATCTGAATGAAATGATGTAGAATGAAACAAGCAGGAAAAAAGGATCATTATATATAATAACAACAATACTATGTGAAATAAGTGAAAAAGTCACTAAAAGAAGGTCAAACTGTAAAATCCATAATGATCCTAGAGAACATTTCCTCCTCCTCATAGCTGAGAGGCAGAGGGCAAGCCTATACATTATCAAATACAATCCCTAGATTAGTATTTGTGCTTTTCAGTTCAGTTAGGGAGGGGGGAGGGAATTTTTAATAATGTGTGATATTTCAATATCAAAATATTAAAAAATATATTACATTAAAAAAGAAAGGCAAATAGGAAGAATCTATCTTCTGACCTCACTATTAGACTGAAACTTTTCTCACCAAGGTTACCCAATGATTTCTTAATAACTAAATCTGAAATCAGTAAGTCAACTAAGCATTATCTAAAAGACTTTTCTCATTTCTCATCTGTTGATTATTTGGTCTCCCTGCCTCGAGTCCTTCTTTGTTCCAATGATAGATAGATTAGACAGATTAGATAGACAGATACATAGATGGATAGAAAGACAGACAGATAGATAAGATAGATACATACATACATAGACAGACATGTTCATGTGGTCTCCTCTGTCAGAATGTAACTTATCCAAGAACAAGTACTATTTAACCTTACTATTTGTATGTGCAGTGCTTAGCAGGTTCTGGCACTGAGGAGGTGCTTGCTGATTAAGCACCCAACTGCCTCTTCCTGAATTTCCCCACCTTTGACTTTAGTGAACTGTTAATCTACCTCAACAACATCTCTTTCCACTCAGATAACCATTAGCCTAATTCAGTACCTCATTACTTCTTGTCTGTCCTACTTTAGTAGTCCCCAATCATTTCCCTACTTCAAGTCTCTCCCTTCTGCAATCTATTCCCTACCAAAATCTTCTTCCAAAAGCAAAAATTGTGTCACTTCTTTGCTCAAGAATTCCTATTCTCCCTAGAATGAAATGCAAAGTCCTCAGCTGGACACTTAATAGCCCTTCAGTCAGTGTTAACTCCATTCTTACACTTCTGGACTTATTTTACAATAATGGTAATGGTAATGAATGTCAATAGATTAGCATCTTCAAGTCCTTAACAAATATATGGTGAGTGAAAAATAAGTAAATGCTTCTAGTAACAAAAAGCATCTGTGAGAAAAATAATTAACACCAGAGATTTAAGGATTCCTTTAACAGAAAGCCATTCCATCACTAAAGATTTCACTAGAACTACCTCATAGTATGGTGGATTCTCAAAGGCCAGGCCAATGGAATTTAAGTCCAGTCATTTGCTATAGTAAGTAAAAAATGTAACAGATTTATGTGTCTGTTGTCCACGAAACAGTTCAGCTAAGCTCCTAGAGCCTCGCCACTGTGTAGGCCAGACGGTGATGAAATTTGTGAGCACAACAACTCAAACATCATCTAATAAGTTGTAAAAGTTTTGCCATCCTTGTTAATAGGGAACACACAGAGATGAAATCCTTGAATCAATGAAGTACACACACACACACACACACACACCCCCTCTCTTAACTTCTAGAATTTGTCTTGTAGTCTGAAGGAATTTCTCCCAATCTCATTTTGTTTAGTAGAGGAGTCTCTACCAATTAAGGAAAAGGAATTAATACACTTTAGAATTTCCACAATGAGTATTCAACAATATTTTCTGTTTAGCCTTGGTTATAGGTTAACTGTTCACTTAATCATGATTTTATGAACTCCAGAAGAAAAATGTGGGGAAAATATAGTCCATGTAGCAGGATTTGATTTAGCAGGACATTTTGCCCAATTATTTACCTGATTATTGGAAATAAAGATGAAAAACTGATGACTAGCTGTACTGTACTATTTCTGGGTAGCTGGGAGTGCAATCAATAGTGTGTTAGGTCTGCAGTCAGGAAGACCTGAGTTCAAATCCTGCCTTCAGCACCTTCTAGCTGTGTGACCCTGGGCAAGTCACTTAACCTCTATCTGCTTCAGTATCTTCAACTATAAAATGGAGGTAATAATAGAACCTACCTCACGAGGTAAAGATCAAATGAATTTGTAAAGCACTTAGCACAATGTCTAGCACACAGTAGGCACTTAATAAATGCATGTCCCTTCCCCCATCCCTTAACTAATGATCACTTACTCTAAACAAGTTCAGTGATAGAAAGAACATCCTAAAAGAGTAAACATTCCCACAGTTTTTCAGTTCCTAAAAATATTTCATTATGGACTACGTAATATTGACCCTGATAATATCAAATTTAAAACAGAGAACCAGAATAACAGACAGAAACAAGAGGCTAAATTTGATATGCAGAGAATGAAGGGTTTGGGTGACAGAATGAGGGCCACAGAAAGTCATTTCTAGTTGTCTGTCTTTTTTACATGACCCTTCTTATTTCAATTTCATAATACAGTGCTGCTAAAGATAGTTCTCCCATGGAGGAATGGAAATCAAGCAATGTAGATACTCACTAAAGGATATATTTTCAACCTCACAAAATCCAAGGAACAAACTGGATATTGTACAGCCCTACCTTTATATTCTCTAGTATTACCAAACAGAATCTGGGATGCAGACAGATGATTTATTTTGGCTATTTTCCCTTCTAATGAAAGAAGATGTCAGAGACAATGTACTTTGCTTGGTAAAGGGGGTCTCTACTAATTTCTCATCTGGAGGGAGTGGAGAAAGACAGACATACTAATACATTGTTGGTGGTACAACCATTTTGGAAAACAATTTGGAATCAATGTTCATACCCCATATCAAAGACTCCATTACTGGACTTATGTCTCAAGGAAGTTATTAATAAGAAAAAGGCCTTCATCTACTCCAAAACATTTACAGCAGCACTTTTTTTGTGCTAGCCCATCAACTGGGGAATGTCTAAAAAAAACTGTGGTATATGAATGTAATGGAATACTACTATGCTATATGGCATGATGTGTGTGATGAATACAGAGAAGTACAGAAAGAGCTATATGAACTGATGTAAAGTAAAATAAGAAGAGGCAAGAAAACAACATACATAGCAACTACAAGAATTTAAATGGAAAGAACAATCATGCACCAAAAAAATTAAAAGCAAATGTAACAAAATTATAAAGATCAAGTGGGATTCAAATGAAGTATGAGAAGACACACCCAACCAACCTATCACTTCAAGGAGTCTACAGGTTTTACAAATTGCACATGTTTTTGGACTTTCTCAATGCATCAATCAGTTGTGCTGATATTTTTTCCTTTCTAAAAAAATACTGTTTGTCATATGGGATTGCTGTTGGAGAGGGTTTGCGGATGGAATTCCTGGGATACCACTGTGATAAAAGAAATAGAAAACATCAATAAAAATTTTTTAATTCTAATTCAAAGCCAGCAGAGGGAGGCCAAGAGCTATCTTGCACACTTTATTGCTAAATAAATAGAAATACCTTTTAATTTGCCCTTGGGTAACAGAATAGTAAGTTTCATTTCCTTAAAGGAGAAAGTGGCGGCCACCAGATTATAAGCACAAATAAATAAAAATCTAGAACAAAAACCATAGGGCAGCATCTCTCTAAAGAAAAAGAAACCAACCAAGCGCTATGATACTAACCAACACAAGGTCATCACTTTGAAATTAAAGGATTCCTCTTGGTCCCATTACATTACCAACATATTGCTCTCCTTCCATACTCACTAGATAAGCTTTTCAAATACTCTAGTTTGATATTGCTTTTAAGACTTTGCTTTAGTGAAAGTGTCAGGACAGTCTTCTTCACACGGAGTACAAGTGTACAATCACAAATAGCCACTTAAGTAGTGGGATTTTATAGCTCTTCTGATGGGGAAATAGAAGTGGAGGGGAGTAGAGAGAGATGATACTTTTTTGTCACCCCTGCACAACTGTAGCTCACTGGCATGAAGCCAAATGATACCAAGGGAAGGAGATACCTTTCAAAACTGTTTATTCTAAAAGTCAATAGCCCTCCAATTTCTAGATGTAAATACTTATATAGA